AAGTTGATGAGTAAAGAGCACGGTTTCATTCATAAAGGTCCGTAATCTTTCCGAATCCTTAGTCATCCCCCAGAATCGATACTTACCAGGGGCTTAAAACACCCACTTCCCAAGTGATGAGAATGATTATTTTTTAAAGCTCTGAGCACTGGATAGAAATCCTCACAGCATCACAGAATCACTGATTCTCAAGCAGGGTGACCTAAAACAGGATGCTGAGAAGAGTCTTCTTTATACCCTTCCTTCAGATACTTATACACATTGATGAGATCCCTCCTCAGCCTTCTCTTCTGCAGCTGGACAGTACCCGCTCCCTCAGCCTCTCTGTGTATGAGATATGCTCCCATCTCTTCATCACCTTTGTGGCCCTTTGCTAGACTTGCTCCTGTGCTTCCGTGTCTCGAGCCCAGAACTGGACACAGCACTCCGGAGGAGGCCTCACGAGGACGGAGTCAAGGTCGGGATCGCCTCCCTCCACCTGCTGGCAATGCTCTGCCTAATGCAGCCCACAGACCAGTGGCTGCCTGTGCCTCCAGGCACATTGCTGTCTCGTGGTCACCTTGTTCTCCTGAACTCCCGAATCCCTCTCCACAGAGCTGCTTTCCAGCAGGTCAACCCCTCATCTGGACTGGGGTCCAGGGTTATTCCTCCTCAAGGGCAGGACTTGGCACTTCCCTTTGCTGAACGGCAGCACAGCCCTCTGGTGTGTCAGCCGCTCCTCACACCTCTGTAGCATCAGCAGCCTTGCTAAGGGTGCTCTCTGTCCTTCATCTAGGCCTTTAATAAACATATTATTTAGTACTGGACCCAGGACTGACCTCTAGGGTCCACCGATGGTTACTGGTTGAATAGCAAATACACCAACAGAATTTCATGTGATGTTTGAGGAATTCATATTTTGAGTTGGGAGATTTCACATAGGACTTATATGTAATTAATTAGGAATGATTCCACAGGTCCTATATAGAGTAACCACTGTTTTACTGAATCTCAGGATTTCTTTCTTATGTGTACAGCAAGTCCATATAAATATCCATTTACAGACATTATTCTCTACAGTGTTCTGGATTTTGCTAGATTACACTAAAAATAAAAGTGATATTAAATAATGAAAATCATTTTTAAAGGTAGTTGTGTTTTAATGTGGCTTTTGACCATTTTTTTTTTCAGAATCATTGCAATAGGTAGTGATTTTGAAGCTACTTTTCCAGTACCTCCATAGAGATTGCATTTAAGATAATATCACTGCATCAGCAAAACTACCAATTCAGGCATTTTAGTTTTATCTTGCTTTATAGCCCTTTATATAAGGCCTTCCTGTAACAGTTCTGCAGTGGCATTAATTTAAAAAAGGTCCTGCGGGTCATTCTTATTTTCAGTCAAATATCATTATTTGAGGATTTTAATGACGCTTTTGCATTAGTGTTGTAATATCTACAATTGTTATAAAATCCAACAATGTATGAAAATGTCATCATTAGGGATGAATGAAGCAGTTCAGCTAAAAATGAAAATCAGCTCAAATCTTTGCGGGTATTCAGAAAACTTGAGGTGATTTCTTTCCTCTCACTTCCACTTCTCAGGCACATTACAAGTTCCCTTGCCTGAAATACCATCATAACTGATTTTTATAGACAAAAGATGTGCTTAGAACTAATTGGGTAAATTTAAGTGTAACATTTGGTATAGTGCCCAGTGGGAAATTATTAGCTAAAATGCAAGATTAGTACAAAAATTTTAAAGTGGATAAACAAGTGAGTAGTAAGAGAAAATAAGTATTGAAGGGAAGGTGGAGTTTGTCAAGCATCAGTCTTGGGCCTGATACTGCTGGCATAAAAAATAGTTGTGTGTTAATGGAATTTACCAGTGGCATAAAGGAGGGAGTTACTGTTAATACAGAGACAAGTAATTTTCTCTGAGGAAGAAGTGAATGACCTTGAGGAGCGGAATGGAACTGGATGAAATTTATAAGGATTTGAGTACAAGCTCCCTTTGGGCTTGTTAGCCAGGGTTCTGGTATACCTGGGTGCTTAGGAGGTAAGAAATGATCAAGGAGGGGATGTACAGCATGGAAAGCAAGGCATTTTCACCAGACGAACAAAGCACTTGTAAGTCTGTTTGAGGAACCTGGTGGGATTTAGCCCACTATTCACAAATTCTTCATTTCACTTTTGAGAAGCACGGGGAAAGACTATTAGATTGACCATGAGAAGGGAGAGCCCTAACTATGAGAGGAGTTTGGGAAAATGAAGGCTGAGAGAGGGCTTTATAAATAACTCAGGGGCCTAAGCTCCAGAAATGGAAAAAAATGTCTATTTAAACGAAATGACAACATTGGCACAAGAACAAATGAGCACAAATTGGCCATGAATAAATTTAGGTTGGAAATTGGAAGCATGTTACCAAACAACAGAGTAGTGATGTTCTGCAATTGCTTTCCAATGAGAACAGTGGGAACAACAACAACGATGACAGACAAACAAGACAACAACAAACCCCAGGCTACTTTTAAGAGAGGATATAATGAGTTGCTGAAAGGGATTATATGATGTGTATGGCTAAGATAGCAGGGAACTAGACTTGATGACCCAAGGGGTCTATGCAGGCCTGTCTTTCTAAGCCTGTTTTTCATGTCCAGATATTTCAGAGCATTTAAAATACTTCCTTTCCTTCATGTATATTTTAGATAAATTTTTCATAGCACGCTGCGGGGATTGCTAACTTGACTGATATACCTGCGGCCAAAGCTGTGGCGTGCATGAATATGCTGAATGTTCTCCAAACCAAGCAAGAGAAAGGACCATCCAGCATCCTATGGGGCCAGCTGAGGGGTCCTTGTAGAAGTTGGACATTTGCACTGGAAGGCAATGGAGGCTACGGCATACCAATAGCAGCACCCCTTTTTTCCTTGATTCTTGGTCCTTTCTCCTACTCTCCTGAGCCTTCTGCTGTATTTTGCAGTTTGCATTCTCAGCTCGAGTGAGTGCAGCATTGCGAAATAGGATGACAAGCAACGGTTCTCTTGCATTTTCTTTCAAAATAAGTGGATTAAAGATAGGATCAGTCAGTGTGAATCTGGCTGGGTTCCAGCCATGCAAAGTTGCAGTGAAGAGAAGTTGATTGGCGCAAGGGGGGATTCCTCCAGCCTTGGTCATACAGTGCAGAATAGCAACAGCAGTGTCACAGGACCACTCTTAGACCAACCGGCACCAATATCATCCGTTGTGGAGCAGTTTGTGTTGCGCTCTCTGCCTTGATAGTTACCTGGTGTCATTTGTCACATGGCTCAACATTTCAATTACTTCTTAAAAGCTTTGTATTCCCTAGTCAGTAGGGCATTAAGAGATGTGTATGGATGCCTTGGCATCAGGACACAGTGGTGAGAGTTTTGTGCCTCCTCTACCTAGCAAAAGCAAAGTGAAATGTTTACAGCTCTCTCTCTTTCATTAACAGATGCTGCTTCATCAAACTCCTGCAGAGCCCTCAGGTAATGCTGTGACTCCACAATTAGGACAGCTTCTTGCAGTCAAAAGTTTCATGATTTTCTACAGATGCCTTGGTTGAAACCAGTGAGTGGGAAAATGACGTCTGTGACATTGGATGACTCTGGTCGCTTTCCTTTCCTGCTAATAACATGCATACTTCCGAAATCAACTGATTAATATTGAAAATAGGCTGAGAAATGGGAAAGTTAGATGAAATCCCCCAGAGTACAGGTAGTTTGAAAAAAAGAGGAAAGAAGTACGCAGCAGCTTTGAGAGGGAGTGTTGCTTTGCTTGTACCTTGTCGCCATGCACATTAATCCCATTTACGGTAGGAAGTAGCACTACTTTGTTGTGCAAATACTTTAACAACTGATTTAAAAAATTAAGCATGAAAGCTGAGTTCCCAGGTTCACCTGAATAGGATAATGGAAATCTATGTAACAAATCTGAACAGCCATAAACAGCAGTAGAAGTGGTCAGTCCCTCTTAACCTGGGATCTTCCTCAGCCTGTGCAGCTGCTGTGACCCCAGGCAGGAGGCAGTCTCTGGTTGGAGGTGGCAGCATGGGGAAGAGGCTCCCAGGGCCTCTGGGAAAGCAGTGGCTTTGCCATTGGTGACAGGTGCATTGCTCTATGGCCAAGTTAATGATGACGTGTGGGGCAGCAAAGGCCCACCCTTCAAAGTGAAAAATTGCCGGCAATTTGAAAGAGTATATTGGTAAAGAAAAGCTATCTTGAGGGTCAGATTTGAAAGCTAAACAGTCTGAGAGGATCAAGAGAAAATATTTTGATTGATGGAAACCTTAAAACAACCCTTATTTTCGGTTGTTTTCTTTCACTCTGTTCCTAAGTGTTCTGTCCCAAGACACTGATTTTTTCAACTGGGACACGGCGCTCTGTGCCCCTGTGAGAGGATGCTTTTGTTTGTGCTACTGCATTTGCTCAACGCTGCCTCAGTATCGCTGCACAGCACCGCTCAGCCTCAGCAAGTAGGCTCTGCTCTCCCATGAGTAGAAATATCTGGAGGGAGAAAAACAGCTTGGCAGCCCATTTGCAAACAGAGCCACTTGCAAACAGGAGCCCATCAGAGCTTTCAGGCTGCAAGTGCAGCAAGGAAACGTGCGTGATGGTGGGAGAGGTCTCTCTTCCATCGGCGTTCCTGGGTTCCTGCTGCTGGCTGCCGTAGCACATGAGGGCTCTTGCTCGACCTAGGGCTGGCATGTGTCGGCCCGTGGGCTGCATGAGTGAGAGCTGTGTTGTAAGTGGCACCTCGGTGCCGTGGGTGGAGGTGCGTGAGCATGTCGCTGCCTGAGGAGGACTAGAGAAAGGAAGCCGTGCTCTTTCCTCACTCTTCCCTCTGCCCTCGTCTCACCGCCCTCCCCAGGAGGCCCTCGGGGTGTGAACACATCCTGTTTACATCTGCCGTTGAGTCACAGCTGAGGAGCAGTTGGAGGCACCGGGGTGCGTGAGCACCACACCGCTGTGCCCCCTGCCCTGGGACAGCGTCTCCAGTGCCATGGAGTCCCTGCCCGTGTACCACGGTGGCATCACGCGGGAGGCCGGCGAGAAGCTGCTGCTGGCCTCAGGGCTGGACGGCAGCTACCTGCTGCGGGACAGCGAGAGCATCCCGGGCGTCTACTGCCTCTGCGTGCTGTGAGTACAGCGAGCCGGCAGCCCTGCCGCTGCGCCACCCCAACGTGGCCCAGGGAGAGCAGCGCCTCTCCCGCGTGGACCTGGGCCTGTCACGCCTCGAGCTGGCGCCCGAGGGAATGGCCCCATGGAGAGCAACTGGTGGGCACCAGCCGCGCTCTGCAGGCGGGCTCCTGCCTAGCCGTGAAGGAAAATGTCTTAAGTCTTTTTGCAAAGACACAAGGGAAACTAGCTCTGTAACTGAGCAGGGAGGGCTTTGCCTCATAGAGCCCGTGCTTTTTAGATCCAACAGCCTGAGAGATGGCATGCTTGGGAACATGGAGGAAGGGCCATAGAGGCTGCAGTAGAGATGGGCTGGGTGCTGTGGCTTGAGGATTGCATGTGCTACTGCTCAACCTCTTGCTCTTGGTCAACTGTCTTCTGCCTCTCCAGCCTGTCCTGTGAGCACCTTGGCGTGCTTAGCCGTGTCCCCACCTTCTCCTGGTTTGGCGAGGCATTTGGAGTGGCTGCGCAAGTTGTAGCTATTCCGGATGAAGTCTTGCCTTCACTTTGGGTGCTGGCTCTCAGGCTGTGTGTCCCCATGCAGGTGGATGTGGTGTAAATGGCCACCATGCTGCATGACACAGCAATGTGTAACAAACTAAGCGGTAATTCAGCAGCTGGTAAAAGAGATGGATCGGATGTTGTGTCAGAAAGGGGGGAGAGAAGCTTCTCTGATAGAGCTTTGGGACTGCAAAGGCATCGAACCTCATTTTAATGAGGCATTTTAATTGCCCTACTTTTGGCAAAAGCCAAAGCATGAGAAGTCCTGAGAGTTAGTTCTGCGTGATGCAGTGCCGTTGTGCTGGAGGAGCAAAGACGTGTCTATCAAGGCTAAATAGATGATCGCTTCTTATTTCAGTTAAAAATGAAAGTTGGGGGAAGTAATATGAGAGAAAATTGTTTTCATGCCAGCGAGAAATTCACTAACAGATAGCAAAGATGACACTTAGAGATACCAAGCAGAAAAATAGAAAAGGAGAAGTCTCAGGTCAAGCTTTCCCCAAAGGTCTTGAATACATTTCAAGCAATTTGTAATTAAGCCCTGGATGACCATTGCAATTCCGTTCTGCAGCCCAGTAAATGAGGGGGTTATAGGTGACCACATACGCACCACCCCTTTAGGGAAAGGTGCCACCTTTCTGGCAGAAGTATACTTTCCTCTCTCATGAAAGTAGAAGGTGAACAGCACTGCTAACAAATGCTTTACCTCAGCCTTTACCAGCAAGCTGGAAAATGAGAAGTATGAAGTATCCTGAGATAAATGAAAATGGAATAGCTGTGGAGAGAGGTAAGGAGCTCCATAATTCCAGCAAGGGGATAAGCAATAAAAGCGGAAGCCTTTTTAAATAAATACCAGAGGAAATGGTGATGTATATCTACTTAACTCTGCAAAGTTGTTCAGTGCAGGCAAAACACTAAGGAATTAGAAAAAGGGTCAAGCAGACTGTTACAATGCTGCATAAAACAGAGGAGCCTAAAATAAGTCCATCATCAGTGTAAATCAAGATGTAAGTGTATAACAAGGTCTTTCATCTGCACGCAATCAGTTGGGACTTCTTGCTATATTAATGGCAATTTATGTTCTTAGGATGAAATTTCTTGAGTGAAATAAGATACATAAAATAGGAAGAACAGAAAGGTTTGTTAACTGTGGGTCTTTTCAAGCTTTGAGGAAAAGAAAAATGATTTCAATAAGGAATGGACTCAACACTAATTTTTTCTGGAACTTATGGGACCTCATGTAAGATCTCTGCAGTAAAAAATATTCCTGATAAATATTATGCAGGCTTCCTGTAGAATATAGGTTCTTTAAAATGTTTTATAATTCCTAATGTATAAGGGAAATGTTCAATAGCATCTTGGATGAGTCCAGCTAAGAAATTAAATGAAATATGTTACTATGACCATGATTCAATATAGTTGGCTGAAAAATGCCAGCATTAAGTCTCGGTTCCAATACTTCTTGCTACTTCAGTTCAGAACATTGTGTAAGAAATAGATGACACAGTAAACAACGTATCACACAATAACTTCAAAGACAGTTATCATAAAGATACCAGAAAATGGTCTCACACTGAAGACTGCAATGACAGTTTAGAGAAATGTGTGCCATAAACTAGAGAAGTGCTTTAATGGGCAAAAGTTTACCAAAGCAGAACACTTTTGTAAAGAAAGTGGAAGAGCAAGTAGGGAAGGCCTTAGAGATGTATTCAATCGAGGATGCTAAGCCTGGATTTGGCAAAATAAGCCAATGGACCCAAGCCCCCAAACTCTAGTCAGAAGAGCAGGCATGGAGGGCCAGGTGACAAGCATGTACGGGCACCAGATCTTGGTAAAAACCAAGAGGGAAACAAGCAGTTATTGCATTCTCTGTCTCTGAAAAAGAAAATAAAAGAAAGGATTTCTCTGTTGTTTTATAGAACTTCCTTAGAAATAAATAGTTAAAATGATTAGGAATGGCAAAGTTATTAAGAAATTTATATTTCTGCTCAGGTTCTGTGCTGAAGCTCACTCTAGGAATACCTAGAAATATTAAGATCAGACAATGCATGTATTTGCTGTGTGTAGTCACTCTGCAATGATCTTTCAAGTTTGTAAAACAAAGTTCGTAACCCATTAGATAAGTCATAATGAATATCAGAGCTAAACAAAAAATATACATATTTCAGGTGACAATTTCTAATGGAAATGAAAATGTCATGAGAAAGGAAAAGAGAAAAACAGTCCATTTTCCAAAATCAAAATATTTTCAGTGTGTCGTCTTCATCTCCCTGCACTTCCATGGAAATACAGCATAGAATTAGAACAAAACAAACCCAAAATACTTGGCGTACCCAGATCCAATGCTTAGGATATCTTTTTTTTTCAGGGGAGGAGAAGGGAATTTGATCAAAAGAAAAGAAACATTCAACCAAAAAAACATTAAATTAGTGTTTGGAAGCCCTCACAGTGCCCAGCGTGAACTCGCGGGCTGTGAACCTGACTCCCCCAGCTGCAGCAAGAGGCAAGTACTGCGCCAGCTGCTGCGGGGTTGTGCTGAAATAACGTCTCCTTTTTCCAATTTCATATTCATTTCATAAGTTGATGTCACCCCTTCCCCTCCCTTGGGTGCCCCCAAAAAACCCTGACATACTTGGGCAGCCTTCGAGCCTCCTCAGGCACGTAGTGAAGGCAGTGATGTTTACGGCCAGGCTCAACTGCCTTTTCTTCTTCCAATTAAAAGTGAAGCCCTGACCTTTAGAAGGGAGAAGAGTCAAAGACTTCCTGCAGCCCTTGCGATTGACACTGATTTTACAGGGCAAGCATAAAAAAGACAGGTAGCAGCATAAAACCTGAGCTATGGCGATGGGTAACAGTGGCAGGCAGGGCCCTGGCGTTTGAGTGCCTGTCTAAAAAGTTCTGCTTCCTCTCTGCTTTGCTTCTCCTAACTACTCTTTATTTTTATTGAACACTGCTTTCTATTGCCCCAAGTTTTGTTTTGTTTTCATTTGGTGTGGCTATGGCAAAGCACAAAGAATCTGCTCTCATTAATATTGGAAGATTACAATAAAACTATGCATAGACCAATGTAATGGTTTTATTTTGCAGCGGGGACTCCTGGGGCTCTTGTAAATGCAGGTGCTGCCTGCAAAGTGTTGCAAGGTTCCTAAAAATCAAGTGCTCCCATGATCTTCACTGTATCAATATCATTATTAAACTAATAATATATAATCTAAGCATGTTGCTCACCATGGTTTGAACATCATAACAGGCACACACTATGATTTCCTGGAAATGTCTCTGGTTGCACAGAAAAGCAAGAAGATTTTTGCTGTTCTTGAAAGCTGGGATAGAAGAAATGGCTATGCTTTAAAAAATATGTAAGGCCTACCTGTAAACATGTTAGATACTCTAAGCAGTACTCCAAGGTTTTTATATCAGAAACTGATGGTTCCAGGGAGCTTTCTTTACTGCTGTGTTTTCCTCTTCACGCAATACCCGGCTTGACGTTTTTAGCACCCTCAGAAATCCTCTGCGAATGTAGCTCCTAATGAAGTCAGTGGGGGACACAGGACACAATAGCGGTGGCTGGTGTGGGAAGCAGCTGCTTAAACTGTGCCTGAAAAAATGCATGAATAAAATGACTGCGAGTACCCAAAGTGCCACTTCACAGGTAGATGAGTGCACATGCAGAAACAAGGAGCTCATGCTTGAATTGGCCGAGATAAAGCATTTGCAGTTTGGGTCTTAAAATTCATATACTTGAAATGTTAGTAGTTTTTTTCAGACCTTTAAGTATTTCTGAGTGAGTGTTCAGGTAAACATGACATCCTTGTCAAACCGTATGTTCAGATTATTTGTTTGAAATCAACCATTCATGCACTGTGCTACATTCAATTCGTGGAGAATAATCAAAACCTGAAATAGGAAACTGTTTAGAGCTCTTGAAGCAACAGTAATCTCCACAGGAATAGGCTGCAGTCCTATCAGATTTTACATAAGCTGTTTTTTCTGTCACCATAACCACAGTGCACAAGTTTGGGCAACGTGCTGAAACTTTCTGATGCAGCAGCTGGATCGGCTGTGCGACATGAAGGTGTAATAATACACACTCACGAGTCGCCTTCAGCTTAGCATAGCTTTTGTTTTCCATGTAATATTTCTGATGGAAATGGCAGACTAATTACATTTATTATAACACTGCACATCATCAGTAGCAGCATTTAAAATGTAGTTTGGAACAAAAGCCTCTCTCTGAGGAGGAGCCCCTCAACTCAAGGTTGCTGCTGTAAATATCATAAACTATTTTCTGCTATGAAAAACTCTTTTACAGCACAGTGCTAAATTTACTGAGGTGAGCTACTGCTCCTTTCAGCTCCCCACTAATCAGAGTGAGCTTTGCCTTTGCCAAGAATAGCTTTTCAGGGGCTTTCAGAAATTTCAGTGGATTTTCTTAGAAAGATCTTAGAAAGGTAGGTGGT